CCTACTACTACCTACTACTACCTACTACTACCTACTACTACCTACTACTACCTACTACCTACTACTACCTACTACCTACTACCTACTACTACCTACTACCTACTACCTACTACCGACGACGACTGCGACTACGATGGCTCCCTGAGCCGATAATTCAGGGGGAGTGGACCTCATGAGTGGTTATCTCAGACTTTGTTGACCTTGTTGACCTACCATGTGGGGGGGGGGTTATCCGGTCTTGTCATTATGATCAAAACAATGTAATTATTCCCTGCAGCTTGGTTGCTTCAAGTGTCGAACCAAAATAAATTGCAAAAACACATAGTCCCCACAATGACAACCAATGCATGCACCCGTCAAACAAGCGATGATTGCATCTTTTGCACGCTCCGTGGCGCATCCGTCAGAAAACTAAATTGGCATCCTGCCTCCCTTCCAGTGGACGCCAAGCTGCCAAAACACCTCGAGATGACAGCATTTTTTGCAGCACCTGCAGGCGTCCCCATTCCAGACTGCAAACATGGAATCAGCTGGCATGCCTTGCAATTCTTATCGTCCTTGCTTTTGTTTTGGAAGAGCCAAACTATAGCTGGAGTGACCAACTCGCGGATCTGAAGGCCTCAAGTCTTGAAGAAGAGAAGTATTCCGTCTCAAGAGAAGCACTCCAAAAGTGGCGGCCCAATCCATGCTCCTCGGCGAAAAGAGACAAGGTGTCCTCAGAGATCGAGAACGCATAAGAACGCCAACTTACAAAAGCACTGAAGTTTCTCGACTGTCTCCAGTCCAACGGAATTCGGTGCAAAAGCTTGAACTTTTTCAAGTGGCAATCATTAAGGCGGCTGTACTTACATGGTTTCCACTGTCAGGTAATTACGATTCAGCTTGGCCTTTGTTCAGCCAGGCATAGGGTGTAGAGCACATATCGTTTGTTCCTGACTTTCCATCCAAGCTGCTTGCACTATGATGTCATACTGCATGACGGCTTTGTTGGCCGGATTCTGGTAGAGAAACTGCGTTGAGTTCAACATCTCGACCTTGCAAAATTGCAAATCTTGGAGTGAAAGGGTCCCAGCTGGTGGTGACGGGGGCATCACTCTTCCACACATTGAACTATGGAGCATCCTAATGATTGGGCGTGTGGCTTCACTCCAAAAGGCATGTTGTCGTGCGTGAATCCATGTGAATTCTATCCTTTTGCCACATTGAGAGCGCATTTAGCAACACATTCAGTCGTAGCCCTTGAGTGCATGCAAATTGCTCAGCCCCTTGCAACTCGTGGCAACAACACTACGTACTTAATATTTTAACCATTTGGCATCTCAAACAAAAGCCGTCTTTGGGTCATGAGCACTCTTCGATGGGCAAGGCAATCCATTCTAAGGTCCACGGGTTTCTTCCAGCGGCTCTCAAGCGCGGATCCTCGTCAATACCACTGACGGATGGCACACAGCGCCTTGCAGCTTCCATGACGCCTTCGAGAGCAGCACAGCTCCAAAATGAAAGGCTGGTCCCAATAAAACTAATATGATTCCAACGATTCAATTCCATGACATGAATAAAACACATTTGACATACTGTAATTGTGACCCCAAACCAGTTGGCGCTTCTTCAACTTGTCCCCACACAAAGTTTAGATGCTTCACCTCACAAGGCCCGCTAAACACTGAACAAATATTGCAAACAAAGGACCATTCAAGTTGCTGACCCAGCGAACTTCTTCCACATCGCTGCTTTGAAGAAATCTGCTGGCCACCCCACCTCGATTTGAATTCATTTCAACCCATGGCATCAATAGAGCAATTTGTGTTGCTCTCCCCCGGCACCTGTCCTACAATTGTCACATGGCGCAGGACACCTGCCCGTTCACTTATTGCACTTTAGGGGTCCGACACTAAAGGTTTTCCATGCTTTCTGTGAGGCAGGCTCTCGGTGCTTTCCTCTGTTGCAGTCAATGCCTTGAGTCTGGAGAATCAAAATAACAAATCAATATAAATCATCAATCATATTGCATCATGTTGCTGTTCAATTCTGGGCCATGGTGCCTGAAGCACCACCCAACACGAGGATGCGACGTGCATGCGGCCCCAAAGCAGCCATAGCGGGATAGGCCAAGGATTCCTGGATCCGCATCGGATGCACTGCGATCTTTTCACAAGTTACTGCAATCTTTTCCCTCAAAGATTCAAAGCGTACTAGGTAAACAATGTAAACATGTGTCATCAGTTCGTCTTCAAACGGCCATTTACAGTAAGTCGCAGTATTCTACAGACTCTTCATGCTAGCTTCGGGTCAGGAATGCTCCCTGGCCACTGTAATATAGATTCAGGGGAGCATCGAAATCATAGCGCCACCAATGGACATTTCGCTCCATTCCGCAAGCGCGGAAGTAGCGCCAGCCATTTTCATTTGTACCTACAGCGTGGGCACATCGCCAAATACCAGCATTGAGAAATAAAGGCATACCATGGCATAGATTGGGGGAGGATTGTGCAAATTATCCGATTCAAATCTGGAGGAGAAAACAAACCGTCAAACGACCGACCTGCCAGCAAAGAAACATATGAAAGTGCAGGCGCTGTTTATAAAACGTGTGAGATGGGGGTTTGTCCATTGACTGTCGCACTGATTTGGACCTTTCCACATCTCAGAGTTAGAAGCGATAAGCCATGCCTGCAAATCAATTAGCAGTGCCGGCAAATCGACCAACGAATTCTCGTGGTCCGAAGTTTTACCTTCAATCAACTGTTGCTCAATGACTAAATGGTGATGATTCAGTGATGATTCGAATGATTCAAGGCAGCGATTCTGGAGTGGTTGTGATGATGGTGAGCAATCCAATGTACGAAAAAGGCATCAACAAGCTGCACTCACATGTCCACAAATAGTCAAAGCGAGATGCACTTGATGCTATCTCCACAGGAAGCAACCCGTTCTCCCCTTGGTGGAGGAGCCAACCACAAGAAAATTGAGCTGACAATGCCCATTGCAAAGCGGGCGCGCATGCAGCAGCAGCCGCCTCACCACAACTGTGGTAGTGGTTGATGCGTTGCTTGCTATTTCGATCATCAACTTTGCACAACCACCAAGTGCCGCAAAAAGACCAGTAGAACTTGCTCAAAGCCTTTATTAGCAATGTGGCGCTGATGTTGAGGCCTAGATAACGTGCCAAAGTTCAACCTACGGAAACAGTTGCTCTGAAAATGCATTGTGCCAGTTGACCGTGCCATCTTCTGCAAATCAAGTCTGGCCTAAAACCAGCGAGTCAAGTCGAGCAATCCAGCCATGCGATCACACTAGCCACGGCCATGGCACAAAGGATAGGTTGGGCCGTGCATGAATTTGTACAGTATCTTGACGCCAAAGCAGGCTGTTGACTTGTTGACCCCTGTCTTGAAGCATAACTATGAGTATCGCATTGGTTGGAGTGCATGAGAAACAGCTATTCACCCGGTAGGTGTTGTGCCTGCATGTTGAAAAACCAAGAAGTTCTTAACCGAAACTGGGTCGCTGATGTGTCAACTATATATATATATATGAATAAGTTTTTATATAGGCCCTGGTGGCATGCTCTGCTTTAATTGCAAACGTTCAACTCAAAGTAACGGTTGCTTATATAAGTTCCCAAACAAAGTGCCCCAACGCGCTCAACAGGATCCGCTTAACCAGGATTCCCTGCCATCTCGAAGGCGCAGCATTTTCAGCTGACCACCGGCGCAGCTAAGCCACACCTGTGCTCTCAAAGGCTCCCATCCCAGTTTGTGGTGCAGTACAAGAAATGTGAGCGCTCCAAAACCACCATAGAATCTGAGGCAATACAGATTAAGAAACAACGCTTGCCCGCAACCCAATCCTTGCGCCACAGCACTGCAGAACAAATAGCTGGACCTCAAGGACGGAACTTTTCCAATTCTGCAATGAATCTGAATACGAAAGGATGAACAGCTATACAGGTGTTGACACTTCTTGCATGGGGAGACAAACCAAAAGTACCATCAAGGTTTGGCTCACAGCCCGGGTGCTGCGGGTAACCTTGATGGAAAAGAAGTGATCATACAAAGAAAAAACACTGGGGAAACTGGGAAACCTTGGAAAGTGATGATACAAAGAAGTGCTACATGATCGTTTAGATTCGTTTAGTTTAGGTTTAGTTGAGACCCACTGCCCACCCGCTTGGACACGGATCCTGTTGTGGGCAAGCCACAGGTTGGATCACCAGCAAGGTAGCTCGAAGGTTGACGGGGCATGCGCCTCAGCTATGCGCATGCTGGGTCTTGCTGACAGTCTTGTCGTGTCTGTCATTTTTACGCCCTTATTGTTCCACGGGAACAAAAGCAACAAAGTCTGATCAAGTTGATGACTTGGTACAGCTCTTCTATTGGCTTGCGGCACATCTTTCGAGTGCAAACGAAAAACTAAACTGCAATCTCCCAAACCAACAATACCAAAATGCTAGTGGCTTCATATCACGGATTTTTACAACTCGGAATTGACGAGAATCTGCAGCTGTTACATCTGAGCTTCCTATGCATCTGTGGAATCATCGACAGGCATTATTCACGCGGACACACACACACACACACTTTGATATTGGGTTTGCAGGTCGAAAATGGTGATGGAACCGCAAGGTGACAGGGTCAGCGCACTTGTATTGTTTGAACAATCTGTTGACATGTCTGCGGTGGCGAGCGTCAGCGCGACTCAGCTGCAGGAAACGCGACAAAGGAAAGGTTTAAGGGAGGTATCATGCAAACTACCATGAATCAAAACGTGGAAAAGTAGGGTGACAGCTTGTGAACAAGCAGGTACGTCGAATTGGCGTCCCAAGTCGATTTCACAGATGCAACACTGGTGTCTTCGTTGGTGCCAGTCCAGTGTGCATCTCTGGCACCCCCTGCTGGAAAAGTGGAGTAATTGAAACTCTTGGAAAACAGAGTGTGCCACACACACTTCGACATTGGTTTTCAGCTAACTCAATTTCCAGGTGTAAAGTTCACGCTGTGCACTTGTGTTTCGGCAGTTCGAACTGTTTTCGACCTTCACTTACCGTCGTTCCCTCTCAAGACTGGGAGGGCAGTTGCCTTGCAAAAGGCGCGGCCGCGGCGCTTCAGTGCGCCCTCTTGTTCTCGTGTTTGCGGACTTCGGGTGCCGCTGCTACCTTTTTTCGCATTGGTAGCGGAGCCTCCTCCGGGGGGCTCCGAGTCCTTTGCGCGAAGAAGAACGAGGTTCTGCATAAGTCCTTTGTCACGAACCCTTGGCCGAGCTCTTTTGTTTCCTCGTTGAAGAGCCCTTTCGGTCTTGGCTACTTGTTTGAGAATGCCACCAACGACATCGGCTGCAGAAGGTTCCAAGGATGGTGACTACCTCAACCTGCGCGACTCCTTCGTTCCACTGTTCAGTGGACAACCCCAGGACTACAAAGAGTACAGAAAGAGGCTGATGCTCTACCACCACAAGATGAAGATCAGCAAGCGCTCAGCCGAGTCCGTCCTGAACATCCTGGGAAGTTTTCAGGGTGTGACGTGGCGGTTGTTCGAGGACTTCTCAATTGAAGAGGCTGAGAAAGAGGATGGCTTCAGCAAGATCATCACCAAGCTCGACAAGAACTTCGAGTATGACGATCGTGTGCTCCTTCCGAATGACTTTGAGGAGTACTTCAACTTGTTGCAAAGGAAGCCACAGCAAAGCCTCCTGTCCTTCGTCACCGACCATGACACCGCCTATCGTCGTTTGACTGCCCGCAATGTGACTCTTCCAGTCCAGGTTCAAGGATGGCATCTACTCCGACGTGCTGCTTTGTCAAAGGAGCAACGCCAAATGGTGACGCTGAAGGCTCCTACGTTGGAAAAGAATTCTGTCATCGAAGCCCTGTACCTGCTGTTCGGTCAGGACTACAAAGCAGGCGGCTGGAATGCTGAACGTGATCGAAAGTTCAACCGCTGGAAGGGCCGCGGCTACGCCGCATTCGATGAAGAAGATGCCTACTGGTCCGAGCAACCCTGGACAGAAGACGCCTACTATGAGGCCGACGAATGGTATGATGACACTGCCCCTGACGATGAGGCTGACTTTGACTATGACGACATCTACTACGGCGAAGAGGATGAACCTGGAGAACACCATGACCTGTCCGAAGATCCTCAAGAGTTGGCCGAAGAGTATGACCACGCCTATGCCACCTACTTGGATGCCCGGCAAAGATTCCAGCAGCTCAAGTTGGCTCGTGGCTACCTGCCGATCGTCGCCCTCACTGATGGCCAGAACGCTTCGCCCGCCTCTGGATCCTCTTCACCTTCGAAGGGCGCCGGCAAGAACAAAGGAAAGGGCAAGAGCAAAAGCAAAGGAAAAGGAAAGAATGTGGTGCGCTATCCGCCCTCCTCAGGTGGAAAGGCTGATCCAAAAGGTCGTGCAAAGGCAACTACATGCCTTCGTTGTGGCCAACCAGGTCATTGGGCAGCGCAATGTCCACAAGGTGCGAAATCACCCTCATCGTCCAACAAGAGACCTGCGCCCACTGAGGGTATGGCCTTGCAGAATGAGACCGCCTTGGTCCTGTTCCAGGATGAGATGGGCACCGACCGACCGGATGCCACCATGCTTGACCCAGGTGCATCTGCCTTCCTGTGCGGATATGGTCCATTCGGCCGCTATTTGAGCCTCTTGCACTCCATGAACTACCCCATCAACACCATCCGCTTTGCTCGATGTGACCGCCAGTTCCATTTTGGTGGCGATGCATCCTCACGAGCTTCATGGACAGTGGATCTCCCGGTGATGATCGATGGCCAGTTCGGCACGATCCAATGCTACCTGGTTCCTGGCAACACGCCAATGTTGATGGGCCGACCTGTGATTGAGGCTCTGCACATGGGCATCGACTTCAGCCAGAAGCGCATTCGCTTTGGGCAATCGCCTTGGACCTCAGTGCTTGTGGGCCGCCACGGCGAGTACTTGTTGAGCCTCACCACTGGCATGGAGGAAGTACCTGATCCCACGAAAACCCTATTCAGCCTTCGCATTGTTGAGGAAACACCTGGCAGCCATCTCCACTTCGAGGACTTTAACAAGCTCGAACATGTGTTTCAGGCTGAAGATGTGGCTCTAGCAGGTGGCGAATTGCAATCCACTCGCCTTCATCGACATGCCCTTCGAACCATGGAGACTCAGTTGGTCACTACCTCAAACTCCACCGAAGCCTATATCACTCAGGAGCTTCACAATCCTCCCGACCATCGACGAGTTCTCTGGGAAATCTACTGTGGCAAAGCTCGCACTGGCCACATCGCAGAGGAGCTTGGCATGAAGGTGGAAAGATTTTCTTTGGACAATGGCTGGGACTTCAACCTTATCAGCCATCAACAACAGCTACTCCAACGACTTGATGAAGAAGAACCTGATGAAGTGCTGGTGGCACCAGAATGCCGCCTGTGGTCAAGAATGCAAACCTTGGCTTGTCGCACCCCTGCACAGCAAGAAGCCTTGAAGGCTCGACGTGAGCACCACCATCGTCGCCATCTCTGCTTTGCCAAGCGCATCTACCTACGACAGGTGACCAATGCACGGCATGCCCACTTGGAGCAGCCCCGACATGCCTTGAGCTGGAACACGATGGCTCTCCGAGATCTTCCTGGTTACTATGCCGACTTCGACCAATGCCGCTATGGAGCAATGTGCATGGACACCGACGGCATCTGGCGACCTGTCCAAAAGAGCACTCGCCTGTTGACCACAAAGCAGGCTGTTTTAGAGGCCTTCCAGCTGAAGTGTGACCATGACCACTACCACTGCCCCTTGGAAGGTTCTGCTCCTGGCTATGGCCGCCGGACCACCTACTTGGAAGACTACCAACCTGGCTTTGCAGCGACACTGGCTGCTGCCTTGGCTCGTCCTGAGACCGCTCAACTGTGGGACACCGCCTATGTGGTCGATGAAACTGGCAAGAAAGAGACCGGACACCTTCTCAAGCTCAAGTCTGAACACCGACAAGATGCTCTTCGAACGGTGC